TATATATTATATTGTATATCTTTTCTAACTACCTTGGCCTAAATTGCTTTAAATTGCACCATATTTAGGTGGCAGCTTCAGCTGTGATGCACCACTCATTCATAACAAAAGCACTTCATTTTCCCTAAATCTATACATTTTACATGTCTTTGCCTGCTTGTGACTTTTTTTGCTGTGCCCATTAGGCCACTCTGTTTGTCACTGTAGCATGAATATGTACAACATTTGTAACAGGTCTTTTTTTTTAGTCATTTTACTGCAGATACTGGGTGTAAAGCAATGCAAAAAATCAGCATTTGTCTACAAGCACTTTGGTTCATCTGGTGCATCACACCAAGATCTTTGGTCAAATGCAGAGGTTCTGTGTTAAGAGTACTCTGGGCTCCTGTACACATGTACTAGACACCCGAATTAAAGAAAACTATTAATATCAGTATTGATATTCTGGCTACAAAAGCCACATTCTAGGAAATTTCTCTTGGCCTATTATCCTTATTGTCCTTTTCAATATTCCTGTTACAATACTGAAGATGCAACACAAGACACTCTCACCATACCCAGTGCCCCCTCCCCCTCCGCACCGCTTCTTTTGTGTCCCCCATGTCTGGTGCTTTTAGTTATGGAGGAACATGTAACCACCTCCCACGATGCAGTGCACAGGCTTAGTAGCCAATTGTATGGCTTAAGCTCTTTCATAATTTTGAGGGTTGGTGTCACTTTTCCTTTTGAGATATAACACCAGCTGACACTAGTTAATTTTGGTGCGATAGAGGAAGGAGGAACAGTAGAGCACTGTAGAGGTGAGTATAAAATGGATGGTGAGTGACATTTACCAAGACCCTGACAAATTGGTCAGGTGACAGGATCTCTTTACATTTTGTGTCTATATGATATATATGCAATATCATCTTGTCCTAATGGTTTAACTTTCAATACATTTAACATCTTGTAATTACAGATCATCTTTTACGAAGATAAAAACTTCAAGGGTTGCTCATATGAGTGCAACTGTGACTCTGCTGATTTGCACTCCTTCTTCAGCCGATGCAATTCCATCCGTGTGGAGAATGGAAACTGGTTGATCTATGAGCATCCCAACTACAAGGGACACCAATACTTCCTGAAGAAGGGAGAATATCCTGATTACCAACAGTGGTTGGGCTTCAATGACTCTATTAGGTCCTGCCGCTTGACACCACAAGTAGGAGCCCTTTCTGCCATTGCAGATTAAAGCACAGAGTGTAGATTCAAACAACATACCTGATCAGTGGACTATAGAATTGCATGTATGATCATATGAAAGAAAATCTACATATACATTTAGTAATTACACAAGTATTTAGAATAGCACAATTGAATATTTTATTTAAAAAATATAACTAGGTTTGTTTGAACCATTTCTCAATTACAATTTGTACTCTATCCAATACTTCCTTTGCTACTACATATAGACACAGTGGGGGTGATTTACTAACCTAATCACACGCACGCACTAGGTGCGTGTGATTTTTACACAGCAAAGCGTATTTATCAACCAAAAAGTCTCTAAAAGCATATTTCCACTAATGCCATATATGGAAAAATCATGATGCATATATAATGCTGCTTTACAGTTTAGACAAAAATGGTTAGCTCATGCATTTACATTCCTGCATTCATCAACGCAAGCAACACAATGTAGAGCTAATTTAGACAACATCACCTTGCAATTCATGAAGGGCTTTGCACAACACACCTGCTGGGTGTGTACACACTACAAAGGTGTCTAGATTCCACCAATAGATCATGCTGGGAGGGAACACACTACAGAGGTGTATACTTGTTCATGGCGTGTTTATAAGGTTAGTAAATCAACCACAGTATATTAGATATACAAGCAAGTAATACAAACAAATTATGAACTGTATTCTGTCTTCCAGCATCGAGGTGCATTCAGAATCAGGGTTTACGAGAAGGAAGATTTTGGAGGCCATATGATGGAATTTACAGAAGACTGCCCACATGTCCACGAGCAATTCCATTACAATGACATTCAATCATGCAGTATTCCTGAAGGACAATGGATTTTCTATGAAGAACCCAACTACAAAGGACGACAATATTATCTGAGACCTGGAGAGTACAGGAGGTTTTCTGACTGGGGTGCAAACAGTTCCCGAGTCGGCTCCTTCAGGAGGGTCCTAGATTTCTATTGAAAACTCTATTGTGCCTCTACTCTAAAGTACTTACTATGTGATAACGGCAATAAATACAATCACAAATATCATCAACACACTTTCTTTTTCTTTTTAAACATACTGTACATGTTAGATCTGTTGCTACACTAAATGATAATGAATGAAAAATATAGTTTCATATACTGATACAGTAAAAACTATTTCTGGTCAGTTTGAAACGGAAACATTTCTTCAACTTTAATATTAGTAAATCATACTCCTTCACCGAGAAAACCACATATGAAAATCAATAGGAAAAGTGTAATTCCTATATCCCTATATGTTGACCTTGATGAAACACATATATTGTTAAATGTAGACTTGCACAGGTTGCAAATTTAAAACCTATAGTATTGTTATGTCTATGTGGCCTGGGAGACAAACACAAACAACTGGCTATTTTTTTAGTAAGGTAGATGCCTATGAGCTAAAGAAAGTGTGCCATGCTATGCGCCATGATACTCCAGTGATTTGTGGCCATTATAAAAGGTACGTAGTTTGTATCTTGCAGCATCAGCTTCCTTTGCAATTCTTGACATTTGGTCAGATGACATCTCAGCTGTAAAGGAAAGCAGTGCTGGAAGAATTCTCTCCGCCAGAATCTGTGATAAGAGGTCTGAATGGGGAGCAGACAGGTATATAATGACCAGGATGTGTTACTGACTGCACTCCAGCCCAACATACCTTATTAGTGTTGGCTCAGGGGAAAATGCCCCCTTCTCCCCAGCCATACTACCCACACCCCCTGTGCTGAATTAACTGAAATATGGAGGTTGCCATTGCTGTCCTCCTTCCAAGAATCCTAGTTGTCAAGCTGTCACTGCCGTCAATAATTCGAGTTGGTGGGATTGAATTACTAAAGGCAAATAGGCTGTTTACTTTGCAAGGAAATTTTTACTTTGCAAGGGAATTTTCGTTTATCTTAGTCAATGAGGTGAAGCAATGCCAACTTCTATCATACACTCAAATGTAAGCAAAAATACTGGTTTTAATTTTGCTTGCACATGATTGGGCATTCTTTGCACAGTGAATTGGGGAGAAAATCAGGACTCCTTATGTGTATAGGATTCCTTTAAAATAAATCAGTAACTTGAGCAATTGAAGCAGAACACCTGATGACAAAAGTGCATTATCATAGTTTAACCTGCTGTAGTAATCATTCACTGATCATGCAACAAAATGGTGTACACAAATATGTACAGTATATAATTACGTAATACATTACCAAATAGTTTACCAATATCAGAATGCCATGTTAAAACCAGCTTCATCTAATACTTTTATTTATTGTTGGAAATGAAATAGTTCTAGCCCCTGGAGGTTTATTATTGGGGTTTTTTTTGCTATCGTCTTAATGGCCAGCGGTGGCATTATATAAATCCAAATTAAAGAAATATACAGCACTCCTTAAACACTATCGGCCGAACATGCTGAGCATGTTCGGCCGACCCGAAGCCACACGAAGCAAGCCGATGTACGGCTGATTTCAGCCGATGTACGGCTGAAATTAACCGTACCAGCCTGAAGTGAATAGCCGAACAGTGTTCGGCTCACTTCACTTCAGATCGGTCATTCACTCGGCTGCCACCGGCAGCTTCGGTCATGCATACATGGTGTTAAATTTCTTTGTTGACTGACTGGTAAGTGCTGGATTCATAAACTTTCCCTAAAAAAGCTAGTTATCAATTGCTGGGACACGCTGGAGGTCTTCAGCTGCTATTATGCCATGCTGGGCTTCTGGTGTGTCTCTGCACCTTTAAAGAGGAATTTGTTACCTCCAGAAAAACCTAATTTTACTTGTTTTATTGTTATGTATGTCCTTAGGGACAACACTATGCAGAGGAGCCTTGAAGTGGCAGCATGGTTTCCGCATAGATTTGCAAATATTTGCTACTAACACAGCTGTTTTTAAAGTGACACTAAACTCACACGTTAAACCTTAAAATGCATTCAAGCACCTGAACAAATGTATCTTATTTGTATATCACTCAGCTGTAGATACTCAAATCATCTCTGATTTGGTGCTGACGCTGTCCTTCCTTCTGGAGGGTGGATACTTTTATTCCCCATGGTCCCTGTGTGTGTGTTGTAAAGTAGCCACTAGGCTATTACTTTAATACAAATTATTTAACTATATGTGAGATTGTAGTCCATCACAGGAGCGAGCTTGGAACGGTGGCTACTTTACAACACATATAGGAAGGAAAGTGTCGGCACCAATTCAGAGATGATTTGAGGATCTACAGCTAAGTGTTACACAAATAGGTTACATTTTTGCTAATTGTTAAGGTACTTGAAAAAATGTTTTACGGTTTTACTCCTGAGTGTAGTGTCACTTTAATATAGTGTTTAAGGAGTGTTGGCAATTAGTTAGTCTCTAAAAAAAGGCAGTTATTCCCCAAAAATAGGCTCTATGTGGAAATTTGCACAGAGGATAGTGGACAAATGAGGGATAGATAGATAGATAGATAGATAGATAGATAGATAGATAGATAGATAGATAGATAGATAGATAGATAGATAGATAGATAATGTATCTCGGTTTAATGCCTACTGATGTGAACAACTAAAACATGCCTGCCAAACTTTACTTCCTGCTCTATTCTCTCAGAGTGCATAATGAAAGGTAGTAATAGCTATTCATGCAGCCACATGTGAAAACAATAGTTTTACTTGGTTTTCTATGTAGCAGCTCTTCACACACATGGACATGGCTAAACAGCACTAAGTTGACATAATCCATTCTAAACGCAAACATCAGCATTAGAGGATGTATTTAAGGGCTTTAGAATTGTCCATTTATACCACTGAACATTGGTGTTAAAATGTTTCCTACAATGGGCAAGGTAAGAGCATGTTTCTCTAAAATATACTGTATGTTATAATGAAGGTGCACTAAGGGATGCACCTTTGCAGCATGGGTGATGTTGAACAAACACATCATTAACTACAAGGACATAAAGTCATAAGTGAATGTTATTCATGCAGTTGGTGTGATACCTCTGGATTGTGTAAGTGTATCAGATACTGTAAGTCAGGGCTCAAAATTTCCACTCGCCCCCTCGCAATTGGCGAGCGAAAATTGCGTGGGGGCGAGTGGAAATTCACCGGGGGGGGGGGGGCGCCGCCGGCAGTATGAGTTCTTCAGCCATGTGCACTGTAAGTCCCTGTTATTTCTGCCTTAAACTGCTGACCTCTGCGCTGTGTGTTCTTGCTGACCGCTGCGCCGTGCGCTCTCGCTGGCCGATGCGCCGTGCGCTCTCGCTGGCCGATGCGCCGTGCGCTCTTGCTGACCGCTGCGCCGTGCGCTCTCGCTGACCTCTGTACATTTCTGCAGTGTGGGACCTTAAAGGAGGCTCAACTACGCTGCTGGAGGCTTCACCTTGTTACATAGAGGCAGCATTGATGACCCTCCCCCCAACACCCCCACCAGGAGAGGAAGAGAGCACCTGAATCAGATCAACTGTGCACTGTAAGTCCCTGTTTTTTCTGTGAAAAGGTGCCCATGCACCTGACGATTATCGTACGATAATCGCGTGTGATCCCGCAAAGTACGATAATCGGCAGGTGTATGGGCAGCGTGTGGCCGCATCTACTGTACGTTCACACGACATTCGTCTTCCAAGCTAGCTGGAAAACCTGCCAAAAACCTTACGATTTTTGGCGGGTTCGTGGCATGCTCAGAAGACGAAAGCAGCACGGGCTGCTGTGCGCAAGCGCACACTGCCCGCTCAGCATTACAATCATCAGCAAGCTTTCCCCTCAGCGGGGAGGGCTTGCAATGATCAAAAGTACGATCTGCCTGCCCAAGATGGGCAGATCGTACAAATTTTTAATTACCTTACAACCATCGCACAACGAAAGTCGTGCGATGGTTGTAAGGTGTATGGCCAGCTTAACACTGCTGACCTCTGCACTCCGAGTTACATTACTGACCTCTGTACTGCTGACCTTAGTACTGTGCATCACACCACTGGCCTCTGGACTCCGCATTGTTACTGATCTCTGTACTCTATGTCACACCACTGACCTGGCAGAGTTAAGTCCGGGGCAGGGTAGGGGTTAGGTGGGGCAACTGGTGACGAGTAACTTTTAAGGCCTGGCTAGTAGCTCAGGACTTGAAATTTTGAGCCCTGCTGTAAGTCATAGCACTGGTACAAAAGTTGGGGTGCCTCATAGACAGCCTAGACTGCAGGTTTGCTTTTTTTGCTTATGAAAGTAATTAATATTGTATAAACATTATAGTCATTGAAGTGTAGAAGACCAGACACATTTTAGAAATTGACAACTTGTTCAGGTTCTGTGTATAGCTCTGTCACCTATATTTTAATTAGAATTCAGTTGTGGGAATTAAAGAAGGTCTTGAGCAAAATGCTAACAGTAAGTTTAATAGGCCAGGGCAAAACCAGACAATATTAAAAGATGGCCCATAAAGTCTTAAGACATTGAGGCTGATTTACTAAGAAAGTTGAGAATTGCATCTTAATTCATACTTTGAATACCTAATCATGTGCAGATGTTTCACGCAATATTTTCAGTGAAGATTCTCAACTTCTTTACTAAATCAGCCTCTATATGTAAGAGAAAATGGAAAGAAAGACATGAAATATGATTGTGGCTATCTAGGTTATTTTTTGTTTAAAGCAATATTTAGCCCAAACCCTTTTTATATCAGGCTAAGAACTAAATTTTCACCCTATCCTGCATAACAGTTCATGTGGACAGTAGTGGTGGCCCCACAAAAAAGGGGGTACTCCTGACACATCTGGTGACACCACTGCTCAGCGTAAGCACTGCGGGTTGAGCACTTTAGTTACATCAGCACCATTCCTATTTTACTCTCTCTCATGACACCATTATATCTCCCTATATCATGTATATCCACTTTGTGACTGCAATTTGCCTATTTAAGGACTTGGGCATGATGTCCTATGCCAGGGCATATAAGGTGGTCATGAAAGGGTTATTAGTGATCTGCAGCATAAATCTCCTCCCAGTATCATGTGATCAAATCACATTGCAAACTTTCTCATCAATGGTCCCTCTTCCTGGATACAACATTTAAAATAGGAAGCAGTCTGCCGACATGACATGACCTAATGTAGAACACAATTTATTTTTATGTGGAAAGGAATTTAAACATGTAACAAGGCCTTTTGTACTGAACTATGACTTTAGTCTGTTCCCTTGACCTACATATTAAATACTGTTTGCCAGTTTTAATTTATACAGGAAAGTTTTGATTCCTCTGCAAGATAAAATTGGTTTCAGTTGAAATGAAAGCTTTGATCTGTGTTTTTCCATGCTACCACAATAGGAATCAAGAACTCTTTCAGACAGACAGTTCTTGCTGTTGTGCAATTAATCAGAAAATGTTAGCATAATTTTCATACAATTGGGCAATTATAACCAAACCAATAAGCCACTTTTAGGGCTTGTATATATAAACATTTGTGCATGTCAAAAATACTTTTCTACTCATACAAAGGAAATGCAAAAGCAGCTTGAAGCCGATTGAGGCAGTTTAGAAGGAGACCACATGCACCTGAGAAGGAAGCTAGAAGGATATCAGAGACATCTCCCACCAATCTCAAATGCAAGTTGAATGCCCCTGAAAATTTGATACATTTATCCACCTACACAAGTCCTTATAGTGGCAGAGAAATCCCCCAAATAATTTAAAACATAATAAATGGGGCAAAATAAAGAAATTATAACAAAAAATGTTAAAAATAGTTTTACATTTTTTTCAAGGGGGCAAACTAATGGGTGCAAGTAGCAAGCTTGATAATTGAAAAATCCTTTAGAAATAATAAATTTCCTTGTAACTTGCGCACCCCCATATACACAGTATATCCCAAAATATAATCAATAAAGTCTGCTGATTATAAGAATATCACAGTGGTTGGGCTTTTACGTAGCATAAAGTAAAGGTAAAGCTCAAAGTGAACATTTTCCTTCAAGTGAGCTTTATTCTCCTTTTAACACTCCATTGCAATGCATGCAGGAGGAAAAAAAATAGTCCAAATAGCTAAATTGTTAGCATAACGTCTGTGAAGGTTCTCATTCATCCAGGTATATCTGTAAAAAATAAGTCAAGGCAACTGGACTTGCTGTATTTTCTTGAAGACGTTTCACTGGTCATCCAACCAGCTTTCTGAATTGAGAAAACTGGTTGGATGACCAGTGAAACGTCGTCAAGAAAAATACAGCAATACCAGTTGCCTTGACATATTTTTTACAGATATGTTAGCATAACATTACAATAAGACCAAGCTAAGTTGATGAGGGCACACATTAGCACAATGGCAACTTTTTCACAGGTTTACAATCACTTAAACTCCATAAGCAATTGATGGTTTGCAGTGAATGCAAACGTCATTTCAATCATCCAATGTTATTGCTGTGACTTGGGGATTAATTTGGGAAGGGAATATTTTTATTTTACAGATAAATAATATATACAGATAATCTATACCTATTTTGGAATGCTATGGATTATGGCCAAAAGTATTAAAAAATATAGATGTGATGCTTTGTACTTATTGCCAGCATTATATACAGTATACAATTATTTACACATTGGCCATATACATTTACAATATTTACGATATAGGATTGTTATACATTTTGCAGGCCACTACTTTAGGTTCAGTTTTAATTTATATAAAAAGAGACCATACTGTTAAGTAATTTTTGCCACTAAAGGAGGTTTAGCTTTATAGTATAATTTGTTGTACTAAAGTAGGTTCCAAGCATGAATTGTAGTATCAGGATCAATAGATGCAATAAATAGTATACTTTTGTAACTGATATATACCCATGCTTGGGACTTTTCATATGCATCTTTTTACTTGGAATAGGAATTTATACACTGGATGGGTCCTGATTTTGTTTTCAATTATTATTGGCACTACACCTCTGAAACCTCTCCGCTCAAACCTCTGTAAATGTCTGCCAGGGGCCTATTTATTCAGCCATAGGTTTGTCATTATGTAAGTAAGCAAAGTATTATATATGTAGTTTATTTATAATAAACATAGCTTTCCTTGGGTGATATTGCTTGGCAAAAATTAATTTATTTTCTATGCAATTAATGGACAAAAATATAACAAAACTTAAAAATGTTTTTTTTTTACTTTGATCATTTTTAATCTATAATTTGCCCTTTTTAAAATTAAACTAAATCAGTGCAAAGTTGTTTACAAATGAAAAAAGGCATTACAAATTTTTAATTATGTGCTTCCTTTAATGTATCTTTAGGAAAGTAACAAAACATACATAAAACTAAATTTTTTTAAATATTAATGGCAAAAAAATAGAAATACGAAAATCAGCAGGTAAATAATAGTTAAAGGGAGAAAGGTAAAAAGGAGTTACTTAGGGCTGATTAGGGTGAACTACGAGTTAACAAGGGGTTAAATAGGAACACATTTTATTTACAAAAAAACTTTTTTCACTTGTCAGGTACTTTAACTGATATTATATGCAAATCAAACCTCACTGAAACAGTGTATATAAAAAGTAATATTGTTACTTTGTATTTCTCTATGCAGTGTCTGAACAGTATTAAAAAAACTATATCAGACAATCTGTTTTTTATAGACACAGCTATCACACCTAAGCCTCAGAGTTTAAGGCGTTTTTTATCAGTCTTCTTTTTTAAGTGTTTTTGAGCATTTTACAGGCATTTTACAGGCATTGAAGCATGTTAGTCAAGCATGTTTGTGCATTTTGTCATGCATTTTTCAGCTTGTGCTGTCCTCCATTTTGTTCTCCAGTGTTTTTTGTAAAGAAGAACACAAAACATGCAAAAATGCCTGTGTTGTGCATTTATGGGCATTTCCATTGAAGTTTATGGGGTCAAAAGTGCAGAAATCTGCAGAAAAGTAGCTCATGTACTTTTTCCAGTGACAGACGTTTAGCTGCAGGTGACAGGAAGCTCGGAAATTAACAGGTTAATAATTATTAATTATAAATGAACGTTGACTGTATTATTACCCTGTATTTCACTACACAGATACTCTTTTTTGAGGATGGAGACTTTCAGGGCAAATCTCATGAAGTTTACTCAGACTCCCGTGATCTTTCCTATTACTTCAGCCGTTGCAATTCCATAAGGATCCCTGTAGGAAACTGGATGTTATATGAATTTCCTAACTTCCAGGGAAACCAGTATTACCTTCGTAAAGGAGAATATGCTGATTTTAAACACTGGAAGGGATTTAATGACACTATCAGATCCTCTCAGCTAATTCCTGAGGTATGTTTTATACAAAGTTATAAGTAATTACCTAAATTTTACAGTTATATTGACACAAATGCTGGGAAATTGAAGTTTTGGGTGGACACTTGCTTGTTTAGCAGTCTGCCAAGACCTTATATTTTTAAAGAGTGTGACACATTGCAAAATGATTCTTGTTTGACTATACATCCGTGCATGGTAATTTAATTGTGTGAACACAACCATGCTAAACTGACAATAACGTGGATGTAATTTACAATGGATGATTAGTAAAGTGAAGCATGTTAAATAGCAAGGTCTGGCTATTTTGGAGTCTCCCCCCCATGTAAAATAATAATGTATAATAATGTAAAATGAATAAAAACAAGAAACACATTACCAGTTAAAAGAAAAGTTTAGTAACATTAGACTTGGGTTTCTGGATTTCTTCTAGGCAAGGGGGATGTTTCTGGGTCTTCTGGGGTGATCCTGGGTAAGCTGAGCACATTATTACAGGATTGGGTCCTCAGCTTTCCCTGGATCGTATCAGAAGACCCAATGACATCACCGTTGACAAGGTAAACAGACATTGGACAGATTTTACATTAAGTAACTTTTACTGGTAATTCCTGTTTGTGTTCTATTTTTATCCAGTGATTGTAGCAATCACTGGATATAGCAATAGCAAAATAGGTGCTTTCACAAAATCAGGTTTTATGAATACATAAGGAAGAATTCATTCTGATGAAAATCATATACAAAATTGTCTTTAAAGTATAAAAACATATGTGATATGTCTTTGCATAACCTTATTCTAGAAATGCTAGTTACATGTCTATTATACTGTTCCTTTGACTTCAGTTCTTTGAGTCAGTGGGGGTTCATTTACTAAAATTACCAACATTGTCCTAGAACATGTATGCAGGTCAGGATAGTAAGAATAAAGTAAAAGTCCTTTTTCTGGATTAGTGACTCAAAGTATTGAAGCAATAGGGTCAATTTGACGATCACATTGGCGCAGACGATTTACAGAAAAAAATCTGAAGACCTCCAGCTAACATGCATTCCAGCCTCTCCTCAAACACATACTTTGACACTTCCTGTTACTCCTCCTGCATCCAAAATATTCCCATTGAGCAGTAAGATTGCTGATCATGATGATGGGTAAATAGGAGCCTGCAGGTTACAGGGGGCTAGGCTAGCATAGGCCACTACAAGGAAGTGTTAGATGTTACAAGGCTATGGGGTTGAAGTCACCCAGGACAGTGAAGATTGTAAATTTAGGGATGTGCTCAGACTAGTAGTTATGCTGTAGTCTGTTCAGTAAAGTTAGGGTAATGGAGGTTTATATTAAAGAACACCTGTCATGAGAAAACCATGGAGGCTGTTATTGCTGATATCCTTCTGAAAATGGTACCTGGCTTCAATACTTTGGCCCAGAATGAATAAAGACATAAGGAATTATAACTGTTTTGTGACTTTCATATTGCTGCATACTTGTTTCAGGTCTGATGAAAGCCTTTATATTTATCTTATTACAACTATACTTTAAACCTGTTTTAGTTCAAATCTTTACATTAAGCATTGTAAATATATAACATCCATTTATAACTTTATAACTGGTAGACATATACTGTATCAATTATGATGTCCCCAAGCTGCATTATAATGTTATTTTTGTTTGTTTTTGCTATTAGCATCAGGGATCATTTAGGATCAGGATTTACGAAAGAGAAGATTTCCGGGGTCAGATGAGAGAGTTCACTGAAGACTGCCCTCATGTATTTGATGACTTCCAATATAATGATATATATTCTTGCAACGTGTTTGAGGGTTACTGGATTTTTTATGAAGAGCCAAACTACAGAGGACGTCAGTATTACCTGAGACCTGGAGAGTACAGGAGATATAACGACTGGGGAGCTGAAAATCCTAAAGTTGGTTCCTTCATATGTGTTAAACCATATTACCATTAAAATGCTCATACCAGTAAATAAATAATAAAATGTGTATTGCTGTGGTTATTCATTAATAATTAAATTAAATACAGCCTTTTCAGAATGGTCTATATAAAAGTAGATATAGAAAAACATGTAATTGCAAGATTCTGATCAAAAGTGGTTCAAGATGCCCACAAACAAGAGATGACAACCTGTAGGGAAAAAGTGAGTCGACAGGTTAGCAAACCTTTTTCAAATGTTAGTGAATGCCCCCAAGATATGTATCTCTCTAGTTAACTGCAGAATATTTTTCTTTTTTTTCGGAGGTGGGGGGTAGGTGGGATTTTAAAATATGCCCTTATATGACTCTAATGTGGACGTAAGTACATTAACAATATACATGCAAAAAAACTAGATGGTTTATATTTCCTCAATGTTTTAATACTTTGAAATCATAAATAGAAATTAACAATTTGAAGCATTATTATTGTATTAAGTTATTGGTATGATAGCTCCATTGTTGTAAACCTGCTGTCATTAGTTATCAGTAGGGATGTCCCGATACCGATACTGGTACCGGTATCGGGGCCGATACAGGGCATTTTCAGGAGTACTTGTACTCCTGAAAATGCCCCGATGCATAGAGCAGATACCGACCCTCTCCATTTTTTTCAAGAGCTCCGGCCAAAATGCACTCATCAGCCGACGTACACAGCAGTTTTCACTCTCAATGAAAGAAGAGAATGTCCGTTCAGTGTGCTCACGGGGAGGAGAGGAGAGAAGCTGTAAATCTTGCCTTCACAGTCACACATAATGGACTTTGCCTTCTTTCATTGAGAGGGAAAACTTCTGTGTACTCTGGTGGGGGCATTATTAAACAAATAAGGTGCACAGACAATAGCCAGCCTGCTATTGGAAATTTTAAATTGCAATAGCCAATAGCAAGTTGGCTATTGTACCCACCCATTGCCTGCTGTCAATCAGCAGGGAGGACCTGATAGAGAACTTTGTCTTCAGTTACCTTCTTTGCTGAATGACAGCAGGCAGTGGGCGGGTACAATAGCCAGCCTGCTATTGGCTATTGCAATTTAAAATATCCAATAGCAGACTGGCTATTGCTCCCAGCCACTGCCTGCTGTATTTACATTCAGTGAATCCAGTGAAGTGGAAAGGTGACGCAAGAGGTCTAAAAGACCCCTAATGTCACCTTAAAGAGAACCTGTCACCTCCAATGCACGCAGCCCTGGTGAGAAACTGCCCTAAAATCATTAGTCTATTGTTTTAGAAAAAATGTCACATGGCCCTTTAAGAAAAAGTATCAGTAATTGGTATCGGCAAGTGAGGGACAGTACTTGTACTTGGTCTTGAAAAAGTGGTATCGGGACATCCCTAGTTATCAGTGATCAGTACATGATCACTGCATGCAACACCTGGCTGCACTCAATTATTTTCGGACTTGCATGGGCAACAAGAAAACAGAAAATGTAATCAGTCGGGAGTGCCTAATAAATGTAGACTAAGAAGCCCATGTTGCTGCCCTGCAGATTTGATCCGATGAAACTCCCTCTGCTGCTGCCCACGGGGACATAGCCCTGATGCCTTCCAGTGAAGATATACCAGTCATCCGATAGGCGCTGATGATAGTGAATACAATCTACCTGCTCAAAGTAGCTTTAGCTTCTGCAAGCCCTTGCCTTGCTCCCGCAGGGATAACAATCAAACTTCTACACTTCCTTCACTCCTTACAGCATTCCACATAGATTTTCAGACATCTGACTAGGTCTAAAATTCTGTCCTTTCCCTGTGAGTTGAGAGCGGGCAAAACGATATCCTGATTTATATGAAAGCTGGCCTGAACTTTCAGTAAGAATTAGGGCTGGTACTGATAAAAAAAAAATTGTGTTCGATAATCGAAATTTTTTTTAATCGACTCATTTTTATTAATTATAACGCACATACAGATCCAACTGCATACAGCACAGCAATGAAGTAATAAAATTAACTAGGATCACACTAATCCAGCATGTTATTAATCTCACGTGCCCCACTCAATATGGCCGCCGCTTGAGTGGGACAACTCAGAATAATAATGTGCTGGATTAGTGTGATCCTAGTTCATTTTATTATTTCATTGCTGTGCTGTATGGTATGTGTATAGGCCAATGCCTTGGCTGGCGCTCGTGCAGAACAAGTTTCTTGGGCAAACCTCTTAGTTGTAACGAAACCGGAAGTCAGGCGGTCACAGAACTCGATAAGTTCTCAGTGTCGACAGATCACCGGCCCAAGTGGCTCCGTCGGTGATCTCTCCCGGTGCCAGCTACTAAGCTATTATGCTGTTCAAGTTTTACCTTTTCATCTACTTCTTTGAGGTTATGTCCCCATGTTTGTATTGAAAATACAACCCTTGTGAAGCAAATTCGCACCCGTAGATTAGGTGGTTATTTTGTTGCAATTCACGGTAATGTATTACAGAGGGGCTCAGGTGCGGTTTGAGCCCAAGGGGTAGGAGTCCGGTGACGTCACGGACATCGACGTCACCGGACTCCTCCCCCTTCCCTTCATTAGTCGACAGAGCCACTTGGGGAAGGGGGGAGGAGTCCGGTGTCGTCGATGTCCATGACGTCACCGAATCTCCGATGGGACTCCCAGAAGCCGGTGAAGAGGTGAGTGTTTTCATTACTGATCAAAATAATTTTTATCGATCAAAAATGTTAACGATTAATCGGGTAATTAATCGTTAATTTCCGCAGCCCTAGTAAGAATCCCTGGATAGTTCTCCGAATTACTCTATCTTCATGGAAGATGAGAAAAGGTTGTTCACAACCGCAAGCTTGGAGCTCTGACACTCTCCTACCTGATGCAAAGGGCACAAAGGTGACTGTCTTGTAAGATAGTAGCTGTGTGAAAACAGATTCTAATGGTTCAAAGGGAGGTCCCAAGAGAGTTTTCAAAACGAGAGGAAGATCCCAGGAGGGGTAGAGAGGCCTATTAGGAGGATTAACCTTACCTACTGCCTTCAGAAATCTTGAAATGTTCTGATTCTGGGTCCATCTGATACCGGGGACTGCTGATTTAGCCAATACGTGTACTTTGAGGGAGCTGGGTCTTAATTTTTTGTCCAGACCCATTTGGAGGAACTCCAGGATTGCCCTAGCAGAAGGTTGAAAAGGGTCAACATGGTTGTCCCTTGGCCCATGTGGAAAAATATTCCACATCCTATCCCACACATCCCATAAAAGTGGATCCTTTCTCAGATTTTAAGAGTGTGTCAATGACAGCTTGGAAAATCCCAACCTCTTTAACCTTTCCCTCTCAACAGCCATGCCTCCAGATGAAGGTGCTCAGGATCCGGATGTAGGACTGGTCCTTGAGACAGAAGGTCCACTGTTACTGGGATCCTTAATGGATTCTGAATGCTCAGAGACATCAGGAGAGAAAACCATGGCCTTCTCGGGCAATAGGGGAGGATGGCAATAATCGTCACCTTCTCCCTCTGTATTCTTTGAAGCACCGACATGATCATGGTAAAGGGGGGGAAGACATATGCTAGAGTGCAGTCCTATGGATATGATAGAATACCCTGGCCTTCTGCCATCTGGTCGATTCTTTTCGGCAGGAACCTGCTAGCCTGGCAATTTTTGTAGGACGCCATTAGGTCCATCAGTGGCTTGCCCCATATCGATGTTAGCCTGTTAAAGATCCATTAAGAAAGAAAACATTTGTTTGGGTCTACTTGATTCCTGCTCAAATAGTCTGCTACTTGATTCTCCAGGCCTGGTAAGTAACTCCTTGCTACGAATCCTTGTGCCTCCTTGGTGGTTTATATATACCACCACTGTAGCATTGTCTACCATAATCCTGACCCAGTTGAATTGTATTTGGTTCTCGAAGAAGAAAAGCGCCTGAAATACTGCCTTCAGTTCCAGCAGATTGGATGATTTGTTCCTCCACTTCTTTGCCCATAACCCCTGCATATACAAGGTAATGGTAATCCATGGAATATTCCCTAATGGGAACCCTTTGAGCAGGTTTCTGTCTTGGGACCACCATTTCAGGGATCCTTTGACTTTGTGAGATATCCTGATCCACTGTTTCTTGTTCTGTACTGCCTGAGAAAGGAATTCTGGGCAATTTTCATATTCCATTGGGCCCACTGAGAAAGGCCTATGGTTGAGGGCATGGAGGCCAGCAGGCTCATGAAGGATTCAACTGTGACTTGCATACTTGCCTGGATTGCATTTGCTTTCTGCTTTATTTTGTGAGCACAATCATTGGATAGTTGAGCTATCCCTAGACTTGTGTTGCATTTCATCTCCTCAGTTAGAGTTAGGTTGCTCTTCTCAATATTCAACAACCATCCATATCTCTTCAGGGTGCTCATGTGAATTTCCCTGCTAAAGATAGCCTCTTCTTTTGAGTCCGCCAGAATTAAAACATCGTCCAAATAATGGAAAATGTCACGCCTTGTTTTTTGTATTTCCACTATAATGGTGATAAGTATTTTTGAAAAAGTCCTGGCAGTGGTGCTGAGACTGAACGGCATTGCTCTGAACTGAAAGTGCCTGTGGCCAAAACAGAACCTGAGAGATTTCTGATGATCTTGAGCAATGGGGACATGGAAGTATCCTTTAGATCTATGGACGCCATCCACATACCTTGATGCACTACTTTTAATATAGTTTGAAGGGACTCCATCTTGAACTTCTTGATTCTTATGAATCTGTTGAGTTGGTGAAGGTTCAGAACTGGTCTCCAACCACCCTGTGATTTGGGGGTCAGCAATAAATGGGAATAAAACCTCTGGAATTGTTGTTTCTCAGGTACTGCACAAATGGCTCCTTGGGAAGGAAGGGAGCACACATAGTCCAAAATAGCTTGTTTCTTCAATAAATACTTTGGAAGCTTGGTTACTATAATTCTGCATCTTGGGGGGAAAGACCAGAATTCCAGCTTGTATCCTTTGATGGCTATCTTCAGTTCCCAAGCATCTGTTATTGATTCTGCCCAGAGACTTGAGAATAGTTGCAATCTTGCACCAACTCTCATGTCCCTGAGATGGGCAACTTCACAACGTATGCTCTGACTTGAGTGATCCTGTATTTCTGCCTCTTCCATTCCTGGAAGGGCCAAATCATCCTCTCCATGGCAGCGAGCGAGAAGACTCCCTCCCTGGTTTGTAGGACCTGGAGTCATGAAAAGTGATGTCGTTTAGACAAGGTCTTATATCCCTATTGCTTCTCCTGTTTTTCCTATCCTGTGGTAGCATGGCTTTCTTGCTATCAATAGATTTTTTGATATATCAATCCAGTTCCAGGCCAAACAGCATATCCCCTTGGAATGCAAAGGGAACACAGGCTTTTCGATGAAGGGTCAGTATCCCACGGTCTGAGCCACAGCACTCTGCGGGCCACTACCAAAGACACCATACCTCTGGCTAATGATTGAATCCGATCACTTGAGGCTTCTGTAGAGAATTCTGCTGCCAGTTTAAAGTTCTGTATTTTGTCCAGGAGTCTGTGTCTGCTCACTCCTCTCTTTATATCCTCTTCCAGATCTTGAACCCATATCTTGGATGTTCTAGATACTGAAGATAGGGCCACTGCAGGATGAAGGCCAATCCCCAAATCAGTATAGGCCTTAAATAAATTGTGTTCCATTTTACGATTCATCGCATCTTTGAGGAAACCTGCGCCATTGACTGGAAAAGTTGTGTGTTTTACCAATCTGACCACTGCCGCATCTACTTTAGGAGCTGTGTCCCAAGTACTGGAATCTGTGAAACTAATATGGTAGAAATGGGAGAATGCTCCTTTCAATCCTATCCTTCTTTCCGACTCATCCCATTCATCTTTAATTTGCTTTTTGGGGATCTTGCTCACTGGGAAGGATAGTCTATTTCTTCTTCGTCCTGCAAATGTTTGCGTAAAGGGGACAGTATCTCCATCTGTTCCTTCATGCTTAAGGTTTTGCGTACCATTGTAATAAGTGTATCCACTTTCTTGGGTTCCAGAGAATGAGTAGTTGGTGAATCATCTCTGTCCAAAGACAAGGAGTATTCTCCTTCTGAAATTGACATCTCTTCCTCTGTCTCCACTGAAGAATCAAATGTGAACTTGCTGTTCTCTGCCTTTTATGGGAAAGACCTGCCTGTCTTACTCCCTACCCAAATGCCTGTTGAATGAGATCCAGGATGTCTGTCGATGATTAATAATGGGTCGAACACCCTTGTGTTTTGGTTCAAATTCGAACCTTCGAACATGGGAAAAGTTTGAATTTAAACTCAAACTCAATGTAAGTCTATGTGGGTAGAACTTTGCATTGAAGTCAATGGCACCGCAGCCATGCCCCTCGTCCACAGTGCGAACGCAGGCACATTAGTAAACTAAAAGGAACAGAGCGCCACCTCCGTATGTAAAATAGTTTATTAAAATAAATAAAACAAGGGATATATGTACTCACAAGCAGATGTTTTCATCACACTTTAACAACAAAAAAGAGGCCACACTGTCTGTTAACCCAACATGGTATCGCCCTGACTATGTACCACGGCTGCCTCCGGTCACATCACCGTCCACCAAAGATTGATGCATTTCAGGGGCAAGCCCCCTTCATCAGAATCATTGCTTGCGTTCCCTGAGAGTAGGGTATAAGACTGGAAACCGACCAATCCCATTAATGCCTGCGTTCCGGTCCAGTGCGGACTATTTTCGCACATTGCACTGGACCGGAATGCAGGCACTAATGTTCCAGGTGCGGGCGATCGCACTGTGGGTGGGGGGCATGGCTGCGGTGCCATTGACTTCAATACAACCCCACACCCCCTCCCACCCCTGAATGCAGGTATTTGGCCGGCTTGCATTCCAGTACATTCTAGAGGCACCAGCGTCCTGTCCTCCCGCGGTGCACCGTGGGAGCATAGCCGTAGCTTGCTCCATTTGCGCTTGAGGCAAGAAATAAAAAATAAAATAAAAGCCTCCTGATATCTCCCTTTTAAAATAGAAAAAGTAATTGAGGACACAAAGTCCTCGATCTCTTTTTCTGCAGCCTCTGTTCTAAATGAATCAAAAGCACAGAGGCTTCCCATTCATTCAGAAAATATTTTCTATCATCCAGTTTCTGAATGGGGAGGAGCCTCTGTACAGAGTGCTACTCCCCATTGAGAAAGTCATGAATGAACAGGAAGTGATGTAAAGCACTTCCTGTTCATTCATAACTGGGGACACATAGTACTATGTGTCCCCAGTTATTTACAAACACTGGAGTGATAAGCTGATCGCTCCAGTGTTTGTCCTGCACAGGGGATTGGTACATATCACTGATCTGTACCGATCCTCAGCCGCTCAGCCACGCACACAGGGGGGCTTAGCCTGCAACTTCTCCTCTGGATACCCGCTGCTCTCCCCGGCAGTGGCAGCAGGGATCCAAGGAGAAGTGAAAGAAGCACTTCAGCCGCGGGGGGAGTGGTGGAAGTAGCCGCTGTCACAGCAGCATGGCCCAGCGGTAAGGAGAAAGAGAGCTTCCGGCTGTCAGATCCTGGCCGAGCGGCTCTCTTTCCTCACCACCCGGCCATGCGCTTCCTTCACATCTCCTCGGATCCCCACTGCATACAGATGGGTTAGAGCAGTGGGGATCCAGAGGAGAAGCCCCACGGCAGGAGGACAGGACATTGCGATCTACCAGTGTTCACTTTGAGATCGACTGGTAGATCGCGATCAACCTAATTGGCACCCCTGACTTAAAGGGTAACAATAAAAATGAAAAATTCCTTTAAATATTGTGCCGGGGGTCCCCTTAAACTGCCTCCAAAGGGCTTTTCTGAGGCATTATCCTGCAGAAGGAACCACTCAGGACATAAACTCTAGAGTAATTAACCATATACTTTACTTTATATAGTACAACATTTTGGCACCAAAATATGACTCCGGGTGACGTTACGGGTCAAGCAAGGTCAGACGCACTGATTGTTATTTGATTGTAGTTTCTCCACACATCCTGTCATGCCCTTACAACGCTAAGCTGCTGGCACATATAGAGAAGGAGAATCTCGGCGAGGGACCAGCATACACGGATGGAACGCAACTCTTCCAATCGGTAAGTAAAAATTCCCACACGGAGCTTACCTCAAAGTTGTGAGGGCTGACTTACAAGGAACTCTTGCAGCCCTAAAATCAAGCACCATGGGCATTTTTCAGGCATACAATTATGTCTTAATTCCCAAGGGGACACCCTTGCTCGGGGCCAAGTCTAGAGGACTTCTCAGTGGAGAGAGGCTAAACTCCCCTGGGGCAAAAACAAATTAAATAAAATTAAAACTTAAGAATGAAGAAAAATGTATTACACTCTGTTATAGGGAGGGCAGGAACAAAAAAGACAGGGGAACTTAGTAGATGGAGGGGCTTATATATGATAAGGGTAATAGATCTTTAATTTAACACTTTTTGTTCCTGTCCTCTAGGGGTAGTAGGAACTAAACCCTTTTTTCAGCGCTGCCATGGATATGGACAGGAAAGAAGTGTTTTCAAATCAGTTTAATTTTTTACATGTAACAACTTCATTTGGCATGTTAGCTTGGCAACAGGGTCACTTTAAAATAACTGCATAATTCACAAAATGATGTATTTATCCGGAATTTCCTAATAACTACCATATCTGTAATGTATTTTATTGACATTTATATGCAAATATACCTAAAAAAATAATTTTACAAAGGACAAATTCAGGTTTTGTGTTGCATTCTTTTTATACTCTTTTTTTTTCACATGGAATTCTTAGTAAGCAATTAGAGACAATGACCTTGTAAGCACAGAACAGTCTAAACCACAATGAATGAAAGAGCCATACATTTACCTTACTAAACACAAAAACAGTTGACATCTAACATTCAATGCATTCAAGCATTAGCAATGGAAGGTGTATATAAGGACAGACAAACTTTGCACCAGGCAGCCTCAAGATTTTACACCACCATCAACAAAAATGGGAAAGGTAATAAGGATAAGTTATTTTTTTTAAAATAATAACAATGTACAAATATATTTAGAATGAGTTTAATTTGTGTGATACATATAAATCTAGGTTCTAGGATCGGTGTAAAAGAGGTTGAGAAATGAATATGTACATAAGCGGTATGTGTATAGTATTCTAAATAAATTAGTGGCAGTGAGAAATAATGGAGTGCAATTCAGTATAATAACCTTTGCAACAGTGTTCTGGCATTGTTGTCATAGGTAGTGTAGTAGCAAATTCATGTAAACTTTGGGGAAGTTTCTTTGCTTGTATTGACCTAAGGCAGCACATTGAAATATTACTTGCTAAGATGCTGCCAGCAGCACAACATCAATGGTTGCTATGTGATGTCAGATGCACAGCATCCTTGGTTGCTATGTTGTTGGCCACACAGCACCATAGCAACCAATAAAACTGTGCAGCCGACAGCATTATAGCAACCAAGCATTCTGTCTTAGCAACCAAGAATGCTGTGCAACCGTCAGCTTCATAGCAGCTAAGGACACCATGCAGTGGACAATGAACTTGGTTGCTATAAAGCTATCAGCTGCACAGGGGGGTGAAAATTCACTTGAAGTCAGAGTGTCCAAAGTATGGACACTCCAGCCTCAGTGCTGCCCCCCACCATTCCAAGAATGTAACTGTAATGCGAATAGGAAAGGTGTGCGAGCAAGGCATCACTATTGAGAGTTTAAACATCCAATCTTCCTAGTGTGCCTTTTAATTTCTCCGTGTGATACCAGGTGGAGTGACTGAACAATTCTATCAGTTCTTTTAATTGTTGGTTGGAGAGTTTCAAAATTAGGTATTTTGACCATGTTTTGATAAATTGTAGCCATTAGGTAAGCTGAATGTTGTGCTGCATCCAGTTGTCAAGAGATTAATATCTTAAATAGTCAGATTTTGAGTCCATTAAGGTTGGTTGGGTTGGAACAAAGACAGACATGAAAGATTAACTTCTTGGCACTACGAACGCATAAATGTTCCTATTTCATAAGAGATGATCTTTGTATATATTTCTGGGCTGAGGGGTAATGAAAAAAGCAAGTAAAAGGTCTAGAGGAAGCGGGCAGCTTCCTTATCACACAGCCCGCCGCCTCTCCCAGCCTGCGAAGAGGAGGAGGAGAGGTGAGATGACTGCTTTTATCTTCTGTATGTGTCCAAGTTCTTTGACATGTTTTGTAGTCCTCTATAACTGATGGAATTATTCTGCATTTCTGTAAAGAGTAATGCTGGGAGTTGTAGTCCCCTATAGCAGTTACTATTCTGCGTTTCTCTAGAGAGTATTGCTGGAAGTTGTAGTCCCTTATAGCCGTTACCATTCTGCATCTCTGTAGAGAGTAATGCTGGAAAATGTAGTCCCCCTATAGCTGTTACCATTCTGCGTTTCTGTACAGAGTAATGTTGGAAGTTGTAGTCCCCTATAGACTTTACCATTCTGCGTTTCTGCAGAGAGTATTGCTGGGAGTTTTAGTCCCCTATAGCCGTTACCATTTTGCATTTATTTAGAGAGTATTGCTGAGAGGTGTAGTTCTCTATATCCGTTACCAATCTGCATTTCTTTAAAGAGTATTGCTGGGAGTTGTAGTTCTCTATATCCATTTCCAGTCTGCACTTTTGTAGAGAGTATTGCTGTGAGTTGTAGTCCCCTATAGCCATTACCATTCTGCATTTCTTTAGAGAGTATTGCTGGGAGTTGTTATTCTCTATATCTGTTACCATTCTGCATTTCTGTATAAAATATTGCTGGGAATTGTAGTCCTCTATACAGAAATGCAGAATGGTAATGGCTATAGGTGGGCAGGGCAGGCATTGTAAGACCCGGGGGGGGGGGGGTATTTTGCACCAGGGCCCATTGTTCTATAGGTCTGCCACTGATCAGTGCCCATGTAGACTTATCTACCTACAGCTGATGATACTGAATTGCTTAGTCCATTCCATAATGGTGGAATGCCACATTGAAGCAGTTGGGCTCTAGTGGGTGATTATTGGTACAAACAATGTGTTAATTAATTAATGGTACATGAAACTATTATCAAGTACAGTTCACAGTATGACATTTTTTTTACAGATTACATTTTACGAGGACAAAAATTTCCAGGGCCGCTCCTATGAATGCAGCTCTGACTGTCCTGATATGACCTCTTTTTTCGGTCGCTGTAACTCCATTAGAGTTGACAATGGAAACTGGATCCTCTATGAAAATCCCAACTACAGGGGAAACCAATATTACCTAAGGCGAGGAGAGTATCCAGACTTTCAACAATGGATGGGGTTCAATGATTCTATCAGGTCATGTCGCCTGACTCCTCAAGTGAGTAACTGCACATAAATTTTAAGTTCTTGAAGTTCATACTATTCATAACAATTGGTTAATATGCACATTTAAAGAAAGCATACAGGAAATCTGAGACAATTTAAGCAAGTACAATGTATCAGGGGAATGTTTTACTGTAGGTCCTTCAATATGATGTATCTGTTTATGTGTATTAGATGTGCAAGCTGCAGAAAAATTTGGTTCAGTTCAGATATTTTGTTATTTTGGGATTGGGATACGAAAAATTAAATTCGGCTCTGGTTTCGGATTCAGACGAAATCCGAATTTTCATTAGTTTCGGATGAGTTTATGAATATTGGTTGCTAATACCACAGAAAAACCATATACAGATATTAATACTAAAGCTGAATCTCCTAGACCCGAATGGCATTCGGGTTCCAAATTTCCGAATTGCATTTAGGAGCTCCAGAATGCCATTCGAGTCTGGGAGCCATATATATATATAAAGCTAAGGCTTCCAGCAAATTCGGATTCTGAATGCCATTTGGGTCTGGGAGCCTCAGCTTTAGTATCATATGTTTATACTGTATATGGCTCCCATGTTACCGTAACGAAAATTTTGTTCAGACCTATTTGAATGCATTAAACCAAAAAACACATCTGATTGGCCAGAAAAGTCACATATCTGATTCAGTTTCATTTTTAAATGAAATTCGGACAGGATCTGAAATTTGGAAACAGAAATTCGGATGCATTGGGATTCGGAAATTCGGATCCAAATGTCAGAATTTCCGAAAATTTGTATGAATTTTGACTCGGAGCGAATCAAATTCAATCGCAGATGTCTATTGTGTATGCAGTGTTCCACCACAGACCTTGGTCTAGATAAAGATTGGGTGAATTCCCATTGATTATTATTAACAACAGCAGGATCAGTTTTCCAATGGTATAACACATTTGAAGACCTGATAACATTTTTCATGGATCTATGGGTCACTGTCCTAATGAGTAACTTTAGGATGCAGAGAAGAAAGAATGCGACTAGAAATTCATGCAGAAATGTAACACACTACTTAAGAGCCCTAATAGATTAAAAAAAGCTACATGTGCCACTACTGTATAACCCTAACCCTAAATTGTTGTGCAGCTCTAGCTCACGATTTAGCACCTAGGCTGATAACATGTAAAAGGGCAGAGTCTTGACCAAATGTGTTTATTTTACACTTTCACTTTATCGCCTGCACTCATTTGCAAATATCTTCCGTGTCCTACTTACCTGTAAACTTGTCTCTACATGTAAATTCCCTTGTTTGTTGTCAGCTTAATTTGGGTTCTTTGATGTCTACTGTACTTGTGTGTGTATATAAGAATGACTTTCCGAACATTTGAAAGCACTACTGAATAAGAAAAGTGTTTTCCAAAGCTTTCACCTTAAAATATATTAATTTGACCAACACAAGGTATTACCTACATTTATATTTTGCCAATGTGAGCATCTATAGGTCTTCAAATATAAATTCTGCTATACTCATTACAGTGCTATACAAGTTGTCCTAGAAATGTGTAACTGGCAAGCATATAACCTGATAAACCATGATAGGGAATGTATTGATCAATGCCTTTACCTGGAGTTTAATGGCCAGTTCTAACATGGCTCTGCAATCTTGACTCTTGAACGTAGATTTAATAAACTTTTTGCAAACTAGTGTTGGAAGAGACTGGTTTCTGAGTGGCATGATTCAGCTATGACTCTGTAAGTAATTACAGAATCTCTACTTTAGTTTGTGAACATGCCTCCTAACATCTTTTTTTTTTAAAAGCACCGTGGCCCATTCAGAATGAAGATCTATGAGAAGGAAGAATTCAGAGGTCAGATGATGGAGTTCACTGAAGACTGTCAAAATGTCTATGAGCAGTTCCGATACCATGACATCCACTCCTGCCATGTGTTTGATGGTCATTGGGTATTCTATGAAGAACCCAACTACAGAGGACGTCAATATTACCTGAGACCTGCAGAATACAGGAGATATACTGACTGGGGTGCTTCAAATTCCAGAGTTGGCTCCTTCAAAAGAGTCCAATATATTCAGTAAATATGAAAAATAACATCACATTTGATTTTCAAAAATAAAACCTAAACTTTAATGCCTGATGTATGTGTTTTACGCTCTAAATTGCATTATGCAATTACCTCTTAAAGTTAGTGATTGGTAAATCTGCCTGGGTTCGATTCACCAAGGTTTCAGTGAATCTGCTTTAAAGTTGGGTTAACCCAAACCTTGCAGCAAATACCATTGAATTTGGGGGACACATCCTGCTGTTAACGACCATTTTTTTTTCGATAAACTATTGTCAACAAAAGGGAATGGGGAATTGGGCACTGCTGTGGGGGACAGCACAGCAGAGAGAATGTCCTTTTATTGTGACTGTGAAGGTAACATACCGTATTTGCTGGCGTATAAGACTACTTTTTATACTTAAAAACATCTTATACGCGGGGTATATAATGTATACCTTTAGTCCGTTTGGGCCAAGCTGGCCCAACTGGCCCAAAATGAACATCCCTAATCTGTCAGCCCGCTGGATGTGCGGTAATACTGTATGTACGGTAGCTTCGGCTGCATACAGTATACTGCACTGAGCTAATCACGGAGAGCGATGTACCCAACCTCTGCCAATCCAAGCAGGCTTTGTATTCATTAATAGAATACATTGCTCGCCGTGATTGGCTCAGCGCGGTATACTGTATGTAGCCAAAGCTACCGTACATACAGTATTACCGCACATCCATCCATTATGTTTTTAAATGGAGTTGCCTCGGAAGTGGGGTAGTCTTATATGATGAGTAAAGACCAAAACCTATGTTTTAAGTGGAAAATTAGGGGGTCGTCTTATACACCCAGTCGCCTTATATGCCGGCAAATATGGGTAGACAAAACAATAATCCTTTGTGATGCCCGTGTGGTGTTACGGAATAGTATGATTTCATGTACAGCATTAGCGACACTATATCGTGACATAACATATTTTGGATGTGTAGAAAATACATTGTATAGTTTGGGAACTTTTATTTGCAGTACCATACTGCATTCTCTTAAAAGTTAAAAAAATGTCAATACAAAGTGCACAAAAGCACTTCAAAACTACAACACATCTTGGAATCCACACTTGTGCCCAAAATAATCAAAATATAGACTTAAGATATTGTTTGGTGGAAATTGACCAGTGATGGAACAGTATGAGAGCTAAGAAAGAGAGACAAGGAAGGTTTTATACTGAAAAAAACATTAGAGCGTGTTACTGTAGCTGAGAGGCAATAGCCAAAAGTATTTTACAGTGGCTGGACAGTATATAAGCATCTTGGTAGGGCCACAATATAAAAGGGACAGACAAGGCAGGTTTTATTTTGATAGAAATAATTTCTCAGCACCAGGATAGGTCTGCAAACTCAAAGGTGCAACTCTGAGGCATAACACAGGATTTACCCTGCAGTCAGCACTAGAAATTTTGCAGCTGCAGTCGAGCTGTGGAAAAACGGTGTGACACCTTTGCAGTGCCAGAGCACTGGAATAGGCCACAAACCTTTTCCTACAGCAGAGGACCCCATCTCCGCAGTGTCATTGAAGACAACAGTGTCCCATAACACCTGGGGTTTGGGTGTGGTTAAATGCAGTTACGTGCCGTGCCTTCTGTGCTGGATAAGGGAACACCCAACCCGCCGAAGCCATGCCTCGTCCCACTGAAGCTCCACTCCTGTCTTACTGAAGCCCCGCCCCAGCTCGGTAACCAAGCTGTGTGAGGAGAAGGAAGGGAGGAGACATGGAGGTGCCTCCCTGTCGCTCAGTTGCGTCACTCGTCACTGGTAAGGCATTGAGATCGATGTCTTCACTTGTTTTTTTTTTTCTTGTTTTTTATTAGACAGCTTGGACCAATGGCGCTTTGCCATTGGTCCAAGCCATCCACAGAGCTCACACCTCTAACATAGAGTAGAGGCTGTGACAGCTATTGCCTCACCAAGTTAGGTTATACAAGCAGTGGGGAAGCCCTGCTGTGTAACCTATCTGTCAAAAGCCGGATGCATCGCTGCCTGTAAATAACCCACCTTCTCCTCATGTTTCTCTTTAGCTTCCTGCTGCCTTTGCTTCACAGGGATGGAAGAAGTAGGAAAATGTTCCTGCTGGCTCTGAAATAGCAACAAGTCCCCTAGGTTCTATATCCTGCTTCTGTGTCTCCAGTGCCCCTTCTATCAGACCACAGTGCGTGCTTTAGGAGGAAGAGGGATTGGATCACTAATCTCTACCTCACAGTAGCTCACCATTTTGGTTGCCTTTTCAAAAGGTGCCAAAATGCTGCATGTGTCCTGAATGATGGGCCATTAACATAGTAAAAAGAACTCCACCTACATAGAGCATGTCCCCATACCATGATTTCACAGATACTTATCGATGGCAGACTGCTGCTAGCCCCATGGCATCATTTAACCTGGGATGCGCGTGCTCTGCGTTGCTTAGAGGGGACTGCGGGTTCCAAAGAGTTGGAAGATGTGGCCAGTGAGGAGGAAGGGGTACAGGTTACTATCACAATTGGACAAGACACGTGGCAGTACCATCAACTCCAATGTTGTGCTCAATTATGCAGCTGCTATAAGATTGACCCAGTGTACAGGGAAGGATATGTAGTGTCCCTGCCCATACTTACCGGACTACGTGTTCATGGTTATGTGTACCTTGCTGCTGACAGTGTGGTATGGAGACACAAACATATTAGATTACACATGCTGTTTGAGGGAAAATATGTTCTTCTGAACAAAATAATGGCAGCTGGGTACCTGCCACTGCGGTGTAGCATAGGCTATACATTTGCAAAAGGAGGCTGATTCCACAAGCTGCAATCAGAGCAGGTAGACCCCAGCAAAAAAAATCATTTCGGCTAGTTTTCGGATTTTCAGTTTTTTGGGATTCAGGTTCGAATTCAATTTGTTTGGTTATTCCGAGGAAGGCGGATAAAAACTATTCGTCAATTTCAGAGTTAAACAATGATTATAAACGAAAGTTCATTGCAGCAACATGACAATAAATGTTTTTTTTAAGTTTCGACAGTCCACAGAAACAGAAAAAAAACAAAACAGTGTGCGGTTCCTACCAAGTCAAACAAGACCCTTTAGGTCTGGTAGGAATTTTAGGGGGGACCCCAACACCAAAATGAAATAAAAAAAAGCATGGGATCCCCCTAAAATCCTTTACCAGCCCTTGAACCGAACAGCAGCCTGACAGAGCAGGAAAGGGGGGGCAAGCGTGTGCCCTCCCTCCTGCATCATACCAGGCCACATGTCCTTAATATAGGGAGGGCGCTTTGCCATGTCGATGAGAACAAGGGCCTCTTCCCCACAACCCTGAAAGGGGGCACCCAGATGCTGCCCCCCCTTGTAAATGAGTAAGGGGTAGTTGTTACCCCTACCCATTCACCAAATACAGTAAAATAGTAAATAAACACACTACACCATAAAAAAATCCTTTGAAAAAAAAGCTCAAAAAAAATGTCCATCGATGTAATCCACATGTCAATCACGTCGTCCAGCAATCCATGTCCAGTAGATCCACGTTAATCACGAAGGATGACGGCTGCTGACTCGCTAAAATTAAAAATCCCCGCTGCCTGCCGCCACGACCGAACCCAACAAACACTGGACACAAAATTACAGCTCTGCTCCTGAATGTCAACAAAGGGGTGGAGCGAGTCATGACATCACAGGACTTGTTCCGCCCATTTTTTTACATTCCATGACAGCTCTCGGTACCCTAATGGAATGTAAATGGAATTTTAACAAATGGGTGAAACAAGTCCAGCTAGGAAGAGACTCCACATTGTTTTTATTTTATTTTAACATATTCTGAAAATATTTTGGATGCATCCCAGTTTTGTTATAGATGCCAACCTACGAACTACAGACCAGTCAGTCTAACATCAATAGTATGAAAACTGTTAGATGAGATGATAAAGGACTATTTAGTGGATTTCATATTTGACAATAGTATAATAAATGATAATCAGCATGTATTTAGGTAGGACCGTTCTTGTCAGACCAACCTACTAACATTCTACTAAGAGGTGAGTAGAGATCTGGATGGAGGGAGGCCGGTGGATGTAGTATATCTGGATTCTGCCAAAGCTTTTGACATGGTACCACATAAACACTCAATACACAAGTTGAGATCTATGGGCATAGATGAAATGGTGTGTACATGGATAGAGAACTGGTTACAGGAACGAGCCCAGAGAGTATTGATAAATGGCTCTTTTTCAGATTGGTCTAAGGTCGAGAGTGGAGTGCCCCAGGGTTCTGTGCTAGGCCCCATACTGTTTAACCTATTTATTACTGATATCGGGGAAGGTTTTAATAGCCATATTTCTGTGTTTGCTGATGATACTAAAATTGGGAGGGTAACAGACACGGACTTAGACATTATAACATTACAGGAGGAAGAAAAAGGGAGGTTAACTCGTCACAAGATGGCGGGTTAATAGTGGTCAATTTCAGGATCCGGACAAGTCAGTTGGTTACATGAAAAATTAATTTTATTGAAAAAAGACATGCAAGATAACACATTTGACTGACAATACCACCATAAAAACCTATTAAAAATACAGACACTATTAAATTAAATGTGGATTGATCCTCATTCCTCTGTCATTCCTCTGTCATTCATTCCACCGTGAGGGGTAAGTGGCTGGTGAGCTATCCACGTTGCCACCTATCTCTCCGTGAAATGGCCCATGCGTATATCGATGAACACGGGCTATCTAGGTGAAGCTATATTCCAGGGTATGGGCAATCAAAAGGAAAAACATTCTGGTAATTTCATATTTGTGAATTATAAAGGGGTGTCAAATTAGATGTGAAATGGTAGCCTAGGCTTCGTACATTTGGAATCAGATTATATACTGTGCTTTAAACACTGATACTTATGGATAAGGTGGATCCTAATAGGCTATTTTCTGGTTTAATGAAATATGTCCTCAGATGTTTACAGTTCCTTTCCCTCTATCAATTTGCTTTTTCTTTAGGGATTCCTTTGATGGGTGTTTCCCTATG